TGGACGGAATTAGTTCAAATTTTCTTGATGTTTACTTCCAATTTTATATGGAAGATTTTTAAAAATTTTCCAGTTTAGTGAAGATCTGCAAAGAAAATTATATCATAGGATGTCACAGAACTTGTTAAACAATGCAACGTAAAATTTTCCTGCCTAATTTTTTTCTAGTTTCACTTGGAACAGAGTTGTAGCCTTGCAAAACACAAAAGTGTGACTAAAAGACTGGCTCAAATTGAACATAAATTTCGAAAAACCTATTTTATCGCTTTTAAATGGCGAATTCATTCACAGACACAGAAATTCGTCGATAAATAAACAAACAAGGAAGAGATGTTTGAAATCAATACGTTATCTCGTGTTCGTCAATTAAATGGCTAAGGGAAAAGTGGAGAAAGTTTAGTACTCCAAGTAAAAAGAACGAAATCGAAGAGGTTTAATATTTACGGTTGCGATCTTTATGTGGAAACATTGTGATTGATTTAACAAAGAGTAAACTATCGTACTTTCGTTTTATGACGCACTTTCGTTTAAGTTGATGCACCTATAAAATTAATCAGTTGCGTGGTGGTATTTGAGTTTACTAGCTTCGTTACGATTCAATTGAATTAAAAGTAAATGCACAGGTAAATTGGATTCGTATTATTTGTTTCTCGGTTGTAAATTAGCCAAACTGAAATTTATCCGTTAAACATAGTGTCATTTCGTTCCATTAACTTCGTAAGAAAATTTGCAACGTGTCAGAGTGCCCCGTACGCAGATTTGAATATTCAAATTTATTATTACTTTTTACTTTAATATTACTTTTGGAGAAGAAACGAATATAAAATTAAAGTAGAAAATTTCGTATCGCAATTATACGTTCAGTTGAATTTCTGTTATTTCGCAAAAACAGAAAAACTTTTTTAACGAATGTTTTGAAAAACAAATTGGAAACATAACGCACAGCGGAAAATACATATTGCGTAATATCGAGGAAAACACATATGGCTTAAAAGTATTTTCGATACGTATAAATCACACGTGCCATTTCCATCAGCATCTGTGGCGTTACATTGCCATATCAACTTTAAATCTCGAACAAATCGGTTTTACATCGTAACAACACGAAACACGTTTCTATAAATTCCTTGAAATTTAAGGAAGTGAGGTGGGTGAGGAACGTCGTTACACTGTTTTCACCTCAATTTATTAATGTATAAGTGTATGGTCGTATAGGCGTAATGTTAGGACGGGGAGACAGGAGTAGCGATAGATAAAGATAGAGGTGGAGAAAGTGATGGAAACGGAAAATTCGTTCGTCCTCGTGCGAACCTGGATGCCACATGTGCGCTTCTTAGGCTACTCGAGGACGAAGGCAAGTCTTAACCCGGGGAGAGACAAAAGAACGGAAACTAAAATCTGAAGGAGTTGGAAAAGAGGAAGTTCGCGTGGAAGAATAGAACGACATTCGGTAAGGGTTTGTTGACGACGACGTCCCCGCCACAGAAGAAAATTTCTTCTTCGAATAATTCACCCCGAGAAATATAAAAATTAATTTTGTAAACATTTTCATTTTCTTTTTCATGCATCATCGTTGAGAAGTTATATTCATCGATGAATAATCTTGGAAATCGAGTAATTGGTACATTCTAAAAATATTTTCTCTCTATTTCTTTATTACGCGAGCCACCGTTTACTATTGTGATAATAAACTCACAAAACTACGCGAGAGGAAACCAGCAGGTACACGTGAGCTCTGATATAAGCAGCACAGAGCTCTCCCAGATAGTCATCCATTTAAATACGCATTATCTCTGTCCAGCATAAGCTTATTTTCTGTGATTAAGCGAATTTAATTCAACGCTGATGAATGTAATTCAATTTCAGGATCTACTGCCACTAACAGGACAATGCTTTGTTCCCTCTATCCGTTCCATTCTAATTCGATAAATAATTGTTTCTCGTTGAAGCACGAATTACCAGTTGAGAAACACAGGTATGAACAGTTTCTCCACTAACGCGACGTAAATAATTCTGGAATATATATTTTATACGTTCCAATAAAATATTTAATACTACGTTCAATGGCTGAGCTATTTTTTTCGTTGATAATTTCTCACAGTGAATATCGTGGGTATATTGGCGAAACAGATGTTAAATTAAAAAATGCTCGTTTTTACTTTATGATCAAAAAAATATGTATATAAAAATTGTCCTTAAAAAATGGCGATAATCGTAAGAAATGAGAGGAATTTTGGATGAAATGAAATTACATTTCTCCTGTAAGAGAAACTATACTAAATGGATGATAATAAATGTACTTACATCGTCGACTTCCCAGCCCTGTTTTTGCCAGAAGTAACAGCTGACAAATGCAGCTGCAACCACTGCTAAAGGTCCAGCACCTCCTAGCTCGATCGCCTCGCTTCCAAAGACTGCTAGCAATCCACCACCTAATAGCATCAGCACTCTCAGGGGCACCATAAAAGGCTGAAACATTACGAATTGAAAGATCGAATGAATTCGTGTTCAAACAAGAACTCTTTAATGTTACTTCGTTTTATTAGATTTCATGTGGCAATTGTTTATTTAACTAGTAGTAGGTTTTAAGTTATGTTTTTTAGGTTAGGTTGCATTGGTGCAGGTTTCAGGTTATACTTTGTAGGTTAGGTTACATTGGTGCAGGTTTCAGGTTATATTTTGTAGGTTAGGTTACATTGGTGCAGATTTTAGGTTATATTTTGTAGGTTAGGTCATATTTTCTAACATTTTTACTTTTTATATCCTCTGAAAAAAATTGAAAGTTTTCTTCACTTAGTAATTACCTATGAAAAAGAATTCAAAATTTTTCAGTGGAATTCGACAGGAGTTGAATAATTAAATTTGCGGGGAAGTAGGTGAAAATGGATACTAATTAATCACA